TGGTGACATTATCGGTATTGGGGGAAACGATTATTTCACCAGGCCGGGATTTACCAATAGGCCCGGGTCTATGGGCGCAAGCTCTCCGAGGGCGCACGGTTTTTTTTTTTTAAAGAGGGCCAGGCTTTAAGTAACCATGGGATTGCAGCGCAGCTAGAACCCTCATTCACAGCTAGGTCCTCATTCTTTGTCAAATCCCAGGTCCTTTGTGAACCGTGAGATCCTTTTGACAATAGTGACCCGTTCTTCCCTTTGATCTCCAGTTGATAGGCCAAGGGATCTCTTCCGCATGGTCTTCCTACTCAGCCCAAGGGCATCTGCCGCTCTCGCACCTGTAGGTGCCTTCAGCATTCTCTTAGACTGTACATTTCCTTCTGTTCTTTCCCAGTTCCTTCGATGTTCTATTCCCATCCACTGGCGAACAGCTCTCCGTGCTGTGGTGTAAGCAATGCCACACGTCAGCTCTGGACCCAAGAGCGGGCTTTCAGCTCCTTTGTTTGCCCACTTGTCAGCTCCCTCATTGCCAGCAATACCTTTGTGCCCTGGAACCCAACTAAGGATGATACTGTTGGTCTTTCCCAGGGCTTTCATGGCTTGATGACAGTCCCATACAGCCTTGGAGGTAAAGTCGAAACTGTCAAGTGCCATTAGTGCTGCTTTGCTGTCTGAGTTCATGTATACAGTGTGGCCTATAAGACCGCACTTCAAACACACTCTCGCACACTCAGACAGGGCAACAACTTGTGCCTGGAATACAGTGGCCATTTTTCCCAAACTTACGCAGAACTGCGCCTTGGGTCTGACTCCATATATTCCAGCCCCCATGCCCGTTGGCTTTTTTGAGCCATCCTTATACCAAGTGATCCCCCTTTTCATGTATTCAGGTTCACCCTTGTCCCAGGCATCCCTGTCAACAATGTTGACATTGTATGGTTTTTCTAGATCTGTGATCTTCACCATCCTGTCTGGTAGCATGTCCAAGGGTTCATCTGCACCTTGTCTACAATTCTTGTGTGCTCACTGGAGGCATTATACTTCCAGTTGCCACTGCAAGCCATTCTGTAGGCTGCCATCCTTGTCTCTCCTTTCACAATGATGTCGAGAGGTGGCAGGTTTAGCACTACTTCCAGGGCTGCAGTTGGAGTGCCTCTCATGTCTCCTGTGATGCTAAGGCATGCCACTCGCTGGATCTTTTGTAGTCTCTTTCCAGCGGTAGTTAGTCTTACCTTGGTCCACCAGACCACCGAGCCATACACCATCATCGGTCTTGCAACCCTAGTGTATAGCCAGTTAGTCATTTGTGGGCTTGGACCCCAGGTCTTCCCATCCCGTCTCATCATCATAAGTGTGGTCTGAGAGCGTTGCGTTATATGTGCCAAATGGCTGTTCCAGGTGAGCTTGTCGTCCAGCCTTATTACTAGGTACTTGAACTCCCTCTTAACCCGGATCTGATTACCGAAGAGAGTTGGTACTCTAGCGATATCAACATTTCTCTTCCTTGTAAATGGTACCATTACAGTCTTCATTGGATTGACCCTCAGACCTACCTGGTTACACCACCTCTCCACTATGGACAATGCTCTCTGCATGAGATCCAGGCAAGTGTTCACAAATTTTCCTCTTATTAGTACAACAATATTGTCAGCATATCCTTGAGCGTACATGCCCTGTGCATTGAGCTCGGACAGGAGATCGTCGACCACCAGGTTCCACAGATTTGGTGACAAGACGCCACCCTGTGGGCACCCTCTTTGGGCCTTGACCTCTCTCACCGTCCCACACAGAGAAGCTTGCGCTCTCCTACTTTCGAGCATGTTGCCTATCCACCTCACGACAGTGCTTTCCACATTTCTTGACACCAGCTTTGATACAATAGAGCGAGTACTAGTGTTGTCAAAAACTCCTTCTATATCAAGAAATGCAGCCACCGCTATTTCCTTGTTCGAGATAGCACTTTCAATCTTGCTAACCAGCGCATGTAGGGCTGTTTCGCATGGCTTTCCCTTCTGATAGGCATGTTGGTTCGGATACAAAGGACGGCTTACCAGGACCCTATCCTTTATTTGTCTATCCACTAATTTCTCCATGGTCTTCAGGAGAAACGATGTAAGGCTGATTGGTCTGAAAGCCTTGGGCACAGCATATGTGTCCCTTCCAGGATTCGGTATGAATACCAACCTTGAGGCTCCATGCTGTTGGTATAACTCCACTGGCTAAGCTGGTCGTGAAAAGACACACCAAGGGGAGTATCAACTGGTCCCCACCTTCCTGCAAAAACCCAGGATAGATGCCATCGGTACCAGGAGCTTTAAATGGTTGAAATGCTCTAAGAGCCCATTTAATACCGTTAAAGGTAATTACAGCCCTAGCGCAAGCCCAATCTTCCCTTGCCGTCCGCACCCTAGTCTCTCTTTCTATCTCCTCCTGGACTGTGCTCTGCGGTTGCAAGGATCTTGGGAAGTGAGCGCTCAAAAGGCTCTCCAGCACTTCTTCTGGGCCGTCTGTATATGTGCCATCTTCCTTAAGCATTGTTCCTAAAGGATTAGCCTGACCTCGAGCTTTGCACATTGAAGCACATTGAGCTTTGCTAGGCCCTATGAAGCTTTGCACATTCATGCACATTCTCTCCATGTTCTGACAGAATTCTCTCCATGACTCTTTCTTAGCTCTTCTAATTGTCCTATTGTAAACAGTGAGCATCTTTGAGTAGTTGTTCCAATTTCCTGTACGCTTTGCTTCATTATACAGTCGCGAACCTTCCTCCTCAGAGCTTCTAACCCACTATTCCACCAGCAGGCTTGCCTGCACATGTTCTTTACAGTCTCCGGGCACGCTTCTTGGTATGAGCTTAGTATGGCCGCATTTAGAGAATTTGTCATACTCTCCACCCCATGCCCTTCTGTGTCTTTTAATTGTCTTAGTCTGTCCCCTAGCACCTCTCGATACTGGTTCCAGTCTGTCCTTCTCACGTTCCTATAGGTCTCTTTTGTACAGATCGAACCTATAGTGAATTCAATGTAACTGTGATCTGACGCTGAGTGATCATCAGATACCCCCCATTTTACAACCTTTGTCGCCACAAGATTACTGGCCAAGGTTATGTCCAAAACCTCTTCCCTTAGTACCACCCCTCTCCTCTGTCTAAAGGTTGGTTTGGATCACTTGTTAAGTATAACTAAGTTAGATTCAGCTATAAAACTTAACAAGCTCTCACCTCTCTCATTAACGTTGCTGCTTCCCCAGGCCATATGATGGGCATTGGCGTCACAGCCCAACAGCAGGTGTTTCTTTTCCCTGGCTCCATATTCAACAACCATCCTCATTTCTCTGGTCGGTGGTGGTTCCTGAGAGTCATATGGCAGGTATACTGAGGCAAGCAGGATTCTGACGTCACCGTCACCCATCTGCCCGTATACCTCGGTCACGGCACAATCCCTAGAACAGAGATTAGTGACTTTCAGTGTGTGAGCACCGCAACCATCCTCTACTTGTCGGGATCCTTGCTCCCATGCAGCCTGAAGGTTACCCTCTCGCAGCCCAGGAATGGGCGCATCGCAAGAGACTTCAGCTTCTGCAGGGAGTTTTCGTCAATTATCATGACCAGGAATTGTCCGCTAGGGTTTGAGTTTCCCCCAACGACCGCCCAGTGGTCTGTGTCAAGGTCATTCTGCAGCTTTATGCCCTGCATCACGTCCTTCTTGGTTGTTGCCCCCGTTGTGGTGGGAACAAACACTGATACCTTCCCAGCTTTCACAAGGTCTTTGGCTGGGGCAAGCTGTAGCGAGTTGCCCTCAAAGGGGCTCAGCTCCTGAACCTGTTTGACCAGCCAGTCCCTTGTGGTTGCGTTAGTACAGCCGACTACTAGGCATCCGCCTTCAAGATGGCAGCTGCTTATCCTGACGTCTTTGCCACGAATGGCCCGTTTGGACAGCTCCCCCTTGATTTTATTGGCTTCAACCTCTGTCAGTTTCCTGTCCAGGTGTTCAGTTCTAGCGATTGCCATCTTCTCTACGGACAGTGTCTCTGAATAGGTGGGTGCCGATGTCCTCTTTGAAACACCCGACCCCTCTCTCTCCTTCCTCCTCGACTTCTTTTTCTCACCCCCAGCATCCTCAGGTGTCAGGTGCTCTCGCCCCCTCTTTCCACCTGTCCTTCTAGAGGCTTCAATAGAGTTGGCTTTGGGAGTGCCGCCCTCGCCCTGCTTTTCCCCCGCATCCTGGTTCAGCAGAGTTCGGGTGCTTGGCAGCCAACGCCAGCTTCCTCTCACTTTCCACCTTTTCGCCTTTGGCTAGAGCTTCCGCTATCCTTCGTCTTCATAGCTCTCCCCTGGAAAGTCCTTTGTTTTTTTGTTCCTTTCCAGTTTCCGGGAGCTTGTCTTCTTCATCAGATATTAGTAGGCCTTCCTCCTCCATTTGGGTCGGATCTTCTACATTTAACTTGCAATAGAAGTGCTTTCGACCTGTTGGTCACACTTTTCTTGCTCATCAGTCTTGGTTTTGTCAGTTTGCTCACTAACTTTTTTTTGGTCATCCATTTTGTTCCCACGAGTACCGGGTATCTAAAGGTCCACCTCCCCAGTGACCCGATTAGAGAGGTAAGGGGTTCAAACGACTGAGTTCCCCCTGGTTCCCAGAAGGCTCCGTTTCAGACACTGAGTATTAGGCCCCCAGTGCCGCAAGGCTCTCAGCGCGGGTCGCATTCTTCCACCTTAGCCCAGGGCCCGCAGTGCTCAGACAAAGCTATTGCTATGACTGAACGTCTGGGTGGGCGCCCTGCTCTAAGAGAGGAAAGCCTCATCTTAGACCAGCACGAAACACCCAGTGTAATAATTTATTGCCTGCCATAGTCTTTCTGAATAATTACCTACAACATATGTTTTATTCTTTATTTATATATTGTAAATATTGTCATTGATTGTTCCCTTTGTAAAAATACAGATCAGTTTAATAATTGTCCTTGTCTTTAATATTTTTAACATTTGGTGCCGAAACTTGTATAAAATGTCCACCAGGAAATCTTCTAGAGTCAAGAAATTACCTGACAGGTATACTCCCCCAAGTAATGACTTAAATACTGAAAGGAATTTAGACACTACCAAAAATAATGAAAACCACGAAGACAATAAGACATCATGTTCTCATGGTACTAGTAAATCTTCAAAAGCAAGTCACCGCAGTAGATTACTAATTGAATTGGAAAAAATAGAAGAAATGAACAGACTGGAAAAAGAATTAGAACTAAAAGAGATGGAACGTCAAAAGAAATTAGATGAAATCGAAATGGAACGTCAAAAGAAGTTAAATGAAATGGAACATCAAAAGAAATTGGATGAAATGGAACGACAAAGAAAAATGGATCAGAGGGAACTAGAACGCCAGAAAAGACTGTTGGAGGCGAGGGCTGAACTGAAGTCTGCATCGGTCAGTAGCAGGCAAGACTCACTTTCAGAGGTAAGATCTATTATAGGCTTAAATGATGACTTAGAAGAAGAGTCCCATAAGAAAGTTGAAAAATGGCTAGATGGCAAAGAACAAGAGTCCAATGTCGTTCAAATGTCATCATCAGCTATTGTGTCTTCAGCAGTAGAGAAGTTAGCGGATTCTTTTAGACAAGCCATTCATTCAGATAAGTCAAATACCATTCAATCCTTGCGCAAACACCTTCCTTCATTTGGTGGGAAACCGGAGGATTGGCCTATATTCTATTCTGCTTATGAAAAGACAAAGGCTTCCTTTGATGAGGAGGTCAACCTCATCAGAGTAAGAAATTCACTTGAAGGCGAGGCTTTCAAAATGGTAAGGCCCTTACTTGTTTGTGGAAAAAATTTGAATACGGTAATATCCACTTTAAAAATGCGGTTTGGCAGGCCAGAATTGATTCTGGAATCAATGCAAAGGAAGACCAGAATGCTACCTCCAGTCAAGGAGGAAGACATCAATGGTCTAATAGAATTCTCTACTTGTGTCCTTCATTTTACTACGACAGCTGAATCCTTAAAAATGGAGCACTATATGACAAACCCTCAGTTATTGATGGAACTAATGGACAAACTACCTTATAATCTCAAGTATAATTGGGCTCAGCATGTGAGATCATTATCTTTAAGTAAGCCAGACCTAAAAGATCTTTCTAGTTGGTTAGAAAATCAATGCTCACTCATGAGTATTTATTTCCGTCCCAAATCTGACACTTTAACACGTAAGAAGTATGATGCAAAGATAGTATTAACAAACTCTACAACTGGGAGATCAAATAGTTGTATATTTTGCAACGAAAAGCACAAAAGTGCTCAGTGTAAAACTTTCAGGAAAGCCAGTGTTCCAAAGAGATGGAAGATGGTTGCAGAAAGTAAGTTGTGTTTCTACTGTTTTTGTCAACACCCAATAAAGTTCTGTAAAATAAAGAAAGCTTGTGGTATTAATAACTGTAAACTATTCCACAGTCGCTTACTACACACAGACACTACACCTGAAAAACCTTTGTACACCAAAAAAGAACCTGTCTATTCTTCCTCTCGTGAAAATAAAGACTCCGACTATTCTATTGTCAAAACAAAAGAAATAACTGGTAAACACACAGAACAAAATGCAACAAATAATGTTCTGCTTAAGGTATGTCCTGTTACTCTTTATGGGCCTAAGGGCCAAATTGATACCTTTGCACTTTAAGATGAAGGTTCAACAATATCACTCATTGACTCTAACACAGCCGACAAGTTAGGAGTCGAGGGAGACATAGAGCCCCTTACTACCTGTTGGTCAAACTCAACATGTCACTTTGAATCTACCTCTCGTAAAGTTAGCCTAAAAATAAAAGGACTTTACGAGGATGAAGTATTCACCCTTAATAACGTCCGGACACAGTCACCACTAGATTTACCACTTCAAAAATTTGACACAGTTAAACTTAGACAGACTTGGTTTCATCTAAACTCAATTGACCAGCCCCTTCCTTCGGCACATTCCAAACCCTCTATCTTGATGGGACAAGACAATGCAGCTCTTATTTTAACAAGAAAAGTCATAGAAGGACCTACCTATTCTCCTATCTTGTCATGGAGTTATCTAGGTTGGACTATACATGGAAAGTGTGCCAAATTTGATGGTCGAATAGATGGAAATTTTAATTTGACAACATTTCACGATGACAAACTACATAATATAGCAAATGAATGCTTTCAAAACGAAAACTATGGAGAACCCACTCTTCATCAGTCCAAAGTCGGTTCATTTGAAGTAAAACAAGCAATTGAAGTACCAGAACGCACAACAAAAAAGGTCAAAGATTATTACGACATCGGATTATTACGGAAATTAGATTATTTCAAGTACACTCCAAGTCGCGACAATGCCTTGAAGAGTTTAAAACCGACTGAAAATGAAAAAGGGCAAGAATCAAATGCGTTCAAATCAGACAATTCTACCGAAGAATCACCTCTTTTGATCATCAACCAAGACGAGTCAAGCGACAGTAAAAGATCCACAAAAAGTTATACGAGCAGAAGTAATGGAATTCCAGCTAAATTGCACAGAAAGTCCAGTACTGTGACAAAGTTTGAGGACAATAGGCCGGCGAAGCAAAAATCTGAGGTGCTGGATGAGGTGAGTCGACATATCCGACGGTCGTCGAGTGAGAAAGACTGTCCTTTAAAAAGCATGGTGGTAACGGAAAGTGACTCTTCGCAGAAGAAGGCTATGGAGATCAGAAGTGAGAACATATCTAAGAGCCTCAGCATGAGTGTGATTAAGGACATGGTAGCCACTGGTGTTGAGAGGTGTAAAGAGATTGATTTAGACGACTCGATGATTGTAGACAATGTGACCAAGTTCCCACTGAGGCCCACGGTCCGCAAGTCACTACCCAACCCTCCTCGACTAGCCAGTGTGATCAGTACACCAGCGTTAGTTCCCCCGCTTGGAGTTACCCAGCCCTCTTCAGACTCAAACTCAAAAGCTTTGGAGGCAATGAGACATTCTCAACAACTAGACTGAGAAACTCTGGAGGCGACACGAGCAGGAGATCAACGAGCTCAAACGCAAAACTGGTCTTGTCCCAATGGAAATGCGAGCCAATATGGAGGCAGACAATCAGCAAGCACTCCTGGATCCCAAACAACGAAGTAGAAAACGTAAGCTCAAAGTGAAAATCACTAATAAACTGGTTAGTACCAAATTTAGCCTTCGCAAACCTCGACCAAAAATGACTAATGCTCCAACGAAAAAAAAAGAGATAAAATTTTCTAATGCTTAGTTCTTGGGGGGAAGAATGTAATAATTTATTGCCTGCCATAGTCTTTCTGAATAATTACCTACAACATATGTTTTATTCTTTATTTATATATTGTAAATATTGTCATTGATTGTTCCCTTTGTAAAAATACAGATCAGTTTAATAATTGTCCCTGTCTTTAATATTTTTAACATCCAGTTCTGATGGTGCTGCTGCCCCCCACCAGAGAGTCATTCAGGACTCTAGCCTAGATCCGCTGAGATCAGTGTGACAGGGGCCACGACGTGAACGGTGCAGTCATTGGACTACACAGGCCTGTACTTCATTTTTGTACTGGCCTTCTTGGACGGTCTGGAGCATCATTTCTGATGCCTCTGGGGGAGAAATAGTCCTCGGTTTCAGATATCAATGCAGCCTTATCTGTCCGAGGAACTACCGCACCCCCTTAACCCCCGGGCGCAGGCTGAGAGTAAAAATATTGTTTTAATATCTAAAGATAAAAAAATAAAAATAAAATATATAAAAAAGTATTTGCGCAAGTTAACATATTTTGCGAGTTAATAAAAAAAACTCTGGAAAATAATATGCATTCTGATTTTGAAGTTCACTGGAAGAAATAACTGTCTGAAAATTTACTACTTTTTCAAAAATACGCATCAATTTCGTTAAGACATTGGTTACGGGAGTAGGCTGTAGGGACGTTGTCGAGCGCCCGAGCGGTACGCATCGTATTGCCACTGCCCTGCCACTTTGCTGGCTCGGCGCTACAGATGGATGATGGAAGTGATTAGGGGCGCATGCGTGCTAGACACTGTTACCACCCTCACCTCACAAAACAAAGGTTATTTACTAATCTTTTGGTCAGTTTACAACAACCTGCAGGATTAAGTTAAAATATAATAATACGTTTTGTTGAATATAAAAAAATGAGTTTATCTTTAAAATTCACTAACTGACAAAATATTAATCTGCGTTTGCAATAGGTTTAGACAATAGGCAGTACCGCCATAGATACTGTTTACCGCCATAACTCATGTCGATGTTTTTATTATTATTATGTATGTTATATGTACAGTTGGATTTTTTTAGCTAGAAGCAGTTAATGTGTGGTGGAATATCTTTGAAGATGAACCTATTTGGCAGTAGTGTGATCATGTGTTCAGACCTGTCAAATTTTGAGGTTAAATCAAAACAAACAAACTGGCATATATTCTTGGAATTGACAACAGTTAAATATACTTTAAACTTACTCTAGCACAAACAAACTGGCATATATTCTTGGAATTGACAACAGTTAAATATACTTTAAACTTACTCTAACCTACCTACCTACTTTTATAAAAGTACTTGGCAATTTAGAGAATATATACTGTGAAATAGATTAGTGATTCCTAATTCCAAATCAACTAATGAATAAGTTGATACTTAATTATTGTCTCCAAATTATAGGTGATGGTTGCTTTAGTTAATTATATGAGTAAAAATTAAAATATTGAATCTTTATAATATTGCATAGGTTAATTAATTTCGATCATTATATTAATAGAATAATGTGGCTGCTGTGACTGGGATACACATAAAATAACTGTTGGGACATACAGTAATGACGATTTACGTTTAGTTTTGAAATCTCTTAACATCTAAATAGACATAGACCCGCCTTTTGGGTTTCAAGTTAGGGACCAGAATTAAATACTCTTGAGATGACAAGATAAACCTTTATATACTAACGTTTTGACCCATTAAATTATAATTTACAGCTAATTGTATTGCTGATAATTCATTAATGCAATCACTAATCAGATAAATTCACCTCGTACAAACAGGATAACATTATACGATAGGCCAAGGAAGCAAGATTCGAGTTTGGTTGATAAAATGCAGTAGCCATTTTATACTGATTTTTTTCTTATAAATTAGACAATGAAACATACTGAATCATTTCATTTGATCTTAAATGGGCATTCTTTTGTAAGTAATACAACCCGGCCTCTAAATGCCTAATGATTGCCAGTTTGTTTGTTTTGATTTAACCTCAAAATTTTACAGGTATGAACACATGATCTCACTACAGCCAAATAGGTCCATCTTCAAAGATATTCCACCCTTAATGGCTTAACTGCTTCTAGCTAAAAAAATCCAACTGTATGTTATGTATGTTTTTTTGTTTTTATTATGTATGTGGGTTGGTTCTATGACGTGTGTTCTAACATAATTTCTTGTAATATAACCAGGGGACGACCCATTGTTTATGATTAAATCGTTTTATTTTGGAAAAACTAGGTTTAAATAACTTAAATAACAAGAATTGTTTTCAGCTAATCCCTAAGGATGACAAATCTACTAAAGGAGTAGGCTATGTTTAATCTATGATATCACGTACTGTATGAAGTTCATGTTTTGGAACCTGAAATTGGAATCAATAGACATGTTTTTTTTCTTCAGGAATGCTCTGTGCGTTGGATTGTTTTGTTTCAGTCCCACAAATGTGAGCATTTACCAAAAGCATAAAATTGCCAAAAGTGTTTAAGATGGCATTTTGTTAAGGCTAAACAAGTCAATTCTTCAAAAAACTTGCAATGATAAAATTCCGACAAGGGTTGGAATGGTGTTCAAGCAATTAACATAGACCTATATGCATGATATAGTTTTTAATAAAGGTTTGTAGGAAAGTAATTGTGACCAGACTAGGGGGCGGGAAAATTATTTGGGCCTAGGGGCGCCAAAATACTAAATCCGGCCCTGTATTTCACCCTGAAAATCGTGTTTGAACATTTTGAAAAACGCTAGGAATCGGTAAACATTTAGGACCCAGACCCCAGCTTAAAAACACTTCCTGAAGTGTGAAATTGTGTAAAAAGTGTATAAAATTAAGTTTTGGAGGATAATAAGTTTAATTGGGGAAAAAGCAATTTCAGTCCCAAATAATGACTGGAATTTAATAAAACCGTTAGGGTCGGTTTTAACCACAGTTCCTCCAAAACCTCAATATAAGTTACACCAATTTTACACAATTCCACACTTGAATAATGTTGAATTCACTAAATCGATGTGAAAAATTCACAAGGAATATGCACTCGACTTAGGCTATAATTTACTGCTGTCTCACTCAAAGATAACCAAAACCGGCACGCACGGAGAGCACCATGTCTTTGGTTTGCCGATAGCAAACCAGCAACTAGCCTACAACGAAAATACCCTACATCACAGAGAAATAATAAAAATTACTTCTCTGTGCCTACACTGTCCCTGTTTGAAATAGGGATGCGTGTGGACAGTCTAGTCAAGTAGCTTGCATTTGAACAAATCAACAACTGGGCCTATTAACTCGTCTGACATACTCGACCCGTGTAAACCAGGCTTTAGCTAATGATTCTCATCTTTCTAAAAGGGTAAAAGTTTTGCTATGACATCTTTGCACTGAGAAACTTCTTAACTAAAATAGTTTAACTGTTTTTATAGTATAGAAGACCTTTGTTGTTATAAAAGTATATCACATGTTAACACTTTAAGTGTAAGTTTCAACAAAGATGCTTTTTACTAGGAAAATATGAGGGCTGTCAGAAAATTAAGGCCTCCAGCTAGCTCTTGTCGCAGACAAGCAATCGAGTTCAAATCCGAAACCAAAATCGGGACAAGATCCAGAACTAACATTTACTTCATACACTACTGTTCTAGTCGGTTCTCAAATCCTATGGGATAATTAGTTTTGTCATAGTATTAAAAAAAGTATTTCAAGAAAGAAAATTATGGTCCTGACAAGTTTAATTTAAACTGCGTTCTGTGATTAGATTAGATAAATTTGGTGTCAGTTGTCAACCGTTATTGAAGTTAATTGCTATTTGACAGATGTGAATGGAGAGTACATTATTTGAGTGTAATGGAAATGTGGGTAATGGGTGGAGGTAGTTTGGAATGTATGTGGTCTTAAACATTTGGATGATTTTTTCATAGTGCAGGCTGACTATTGTCATTCATCAGCCTCAATTTGAAGTAATCACCAAGGTTAGTAGATTTTTGCTTGCTTGTCATAGGGTAATTAAACTAGAGCCTTACTGGTGGGGTGGTGGGAGAGTCTATACAAAACTAAGAGTCCTTGGAGGCTAGCGGCGATATTGGATAATTTCAAACAGCTGCTGAAGAATTAATTAATATCCAAAAATAGTTTTTCAAACACCAAAGTGATTATAATTTAAATATCTTGTATGCTATGAGATTAAAAATTGTTTGTTGTTTTGAATTGATTTCCAAGGGAGTTCATGGAAGCCAAAGGCCATCTTGGATTCACCTACCATAAGAGCAATGTTAATTTCGTTATTTTTATTCAGCCGCTGACAAGTTATTTACCATCTAAAAATATATTTTTTTTTCTTTAATCCATTTATGTACATTTAATAGGTCAAAATATTTTTCTGCATCTGTCAACTACTGGCAACGGATTTCAACAGTCTTGACCCACTTGAAACCTAATGCAGTCCTTTGCACTGAATGCGATTAATTCTAGGCTGGAGCGTCAATTCTCTTTCACGTTTGCAAATAGTCTGATGAGATTAATTGTTTTAAAGTGGTGGGAACCGGCTAGAATAGTAGGCCTAGTGGATAAAGTAAACAAAAACAACATTCATCTCCGGTTTAAACTATCTCGCTTGGCTTCGACAAGAGCTCAATAGAGAACTTAACTAACAGACAGCAGGCAGCTTTGGTATTACAAAAAATTGATATTTAAAATTACTGTTAGATAAACTTTTGAAGGTTCAAATTATTTTAGGTGATTAAAACTGCCCTAACATGAAGTATGGCCTACCAAGAGATGAAAAACCGAAGAAGAGATGGAAAGCCAAAATTGAAAATGAACTTAGGGATCTGCAAATGGAGGTTTGCTTCCTTAAAAAGAAGTTAGAAGAGACTAATAAAAAATTAATTGAATCTTCATCAACACGACCACAAGTCCAATCAACTTTTACCGCAGGTATGATCCACAGTGAAGCTCTGTGAAAATTTAATTTTTTAATCATATATTAAAACATTTTCCTAGACAACTAAAGATGTATTAGACATTATATTAAAAATACATCAAAAGAGTATTAGAGTAAGCCTAGAGAAAGAGATGTTTTCTTCTTTGACATGGCACAAATCAATCATTGATCCATCATTGATTGAAATTTAGAGTTTAAATTAAAATTGAAATACATAGTTGAAATTACCCCCAAGGTCCATAGGGGATCGTGAGAGATCTGCCAACTGTCCTCCTTTAAACACCTTGTTGAAATCTTATCGCTAACACTTATCTATATATTTAATACGCTAGGCATATTTTTGTCATAATTGTTTTGGAGTGGTGGTGCTACCGATCACCATGTCCAAGGTGTCGTTAGAAAGGTCTTAGCATGTAGTTTTGCCATCAAACAAACACACTTTGGAATTCCATCAGGGCTCTGCCCCAGTGGCCTTCAAAGTTCCCATGTTATTCTTAAGGAGAAAATGTTTGTTTACATTTGAACAGATGAATACTTTGAAATTGACACTAATATTTGAAACAGCTGGTTATACTAAAATTTTGCACAAAATCAAAACATAACCAAAAATACGTTCGACATAATGGAGACTAATAAGACGTTGACCTGAACGGCCAATAGGAGAAGGCCGACAAACTTAAACTCTGGACGGCCAATAGGAGGAGGCCGACGAACTTAAACTGGTAGACGCGAACGAAATACAAATAATACTATTGTCGTTGATAGCCGAATACAGCAAGCACCCTTCCCTGTTGTTTTTAAGTGTGATCTCCAACAGCCGCCTGAACATTTCACAGTCAATTTAGGACTGTTGGATAATTGCTGCATAAGCTGTTGATTTTGGAAGACAAGGAGGCTGGTAGGACTACATCGTTAACAGAAGAGAGGAGATATTAGATGAGTGCCAAATGCGTTGGGAACAGAGTGTTTTGTTTTATGTTAACGTTTTAAAGGTAAACGTTTGGATATAACATCAAAAAGAGACTGGAACAAGATTGGGAGATGAGCCATTATGAAACGCAGTTTGTCACAGGACATGGACAATTTCAAGGCAAATTTGTGAAGATTTCACATGGTGGAAGAGGAAGTATGTAGATGTGGAGAAATAAAAACCACAAGTCAAAATAAAAACCACAAGTCACGTATTTATAAATTGTTCACTTCAGGAGACAAATAGGAGAGAACAGGAATAAGTCTTGGATAAGAGAGGTCTAGAGATGAGGAAATAAAACATGATGAGTGACAAGGAAACAATTGAGACGTTTAGAAAAGTAGCTATGGAAATAGGAAATACCCCCGCCGCAGCAAACCTGCAGACTTAGCGAATTTCCATCTGCCTGATTGGATTTAAACTAAAATGTCTCCTTAAAAATATCACATTTATTCCCTTATTTAAACAGAATTAGTTTAATGAGTACTTAGGTTTGCTGCAACAGGGAGGGTAAAAAAGTTTTTTTTAATGTAAAATATTAAAAAGTACTGTGGTTTAGTAAGAAATTAATGTATTTTCCAAATTTGATCAAAATATGTTCATAAACAAGCAAACTGCAACAGTTGACTTATTCTCCATATGAATAACATGGGAATTTTAAAATTACAATTTTTTTGAATTTTCTCCGTAACAATTAGGCGCATAATAACGCTTCAATATACTAAATTATTTGTTTTTTAAGCTCTACAAAATGGTTTAAAAAGAAATTGTGAAATTTTGTGTTTTTAGGGTCAAAATTGGGAAAAACCTATTTTTACCCCATAAAACCCTCCATAAACCCCCGTTCCCATAGTCCGATCATGCTGGTTCGCGAACTCATTCAAGTTTATCCCACCTTACACCTTCAAACCAAATTTTATCAAAATCGGACAAAAATTACTCAAGTTATCGTGCGGATGGACATATATATATATATATATATATATATATATATATATATATATATATATATATTTTAATTTAGGTGTTCACGTAATAGGGCTGCTGATATATTAAATATTTAAGTAAATAAGTACAACTGAGCACCCTGAATATTATATTTTATAAAAGAAGTGACATGTTTCGGACATTAGTCCATTTTCAAACTTCAAAATACATTAAACACTTAACTGTTGTTTGTATTGTTTGTTTGTAAATAAATATAATTTTTACATACAGATGATTTATAGAACTAGACAGGATTTGGAAAAACATTTTTGTTACTGATTATTTAATTTTAAAATTTGGTCAAAGATTGGGTTTCTTGAAGGAATTTGGCTATTATAAATATGATTTGGATTTTTTAGATTTTCTTCGTACATATGAAATATTCTTCAGTTGAATCCATTCGATTTCCTTTGTTTAAAACTTTTAGAACTTTCATGTTGTTTTTTAAATTTGTGTAATTGTGGTTGGTCGATAAAAGGTGTTCAGCAAAGTTTGATTTCATGGATGTTCATAGTTGAAAAGTGTTACTAAGTGTAATGTACTAAGTGTGTTAAAAGTGTAATGTTGTTACTCTTAAGAGCTTGAATGTGCTCTTTGAATCTAGATTTAAAAGAGCGTCCTGTCTGACCAATGTAGAAGTGTTCACAATCAGTGCAGTTAATTTTGTAAATGCCAGATTTGTCATAGATGTCTTGATGTTCTTTATTTGTATTAATGTTATTTGTTATCATATTGAAGCGTTATTTTTTGTTTTAAATCCAATTTTGTATTCAGAATTTTGAAAAGTTTTTCTTGTAGTCCTGTTAAGAGTTTTATTGAATGGGATACTAATGAATTTCTCTTTCTTCTTTCTTTCTTTGTTGTGTTCTTGATTTTGATTTTTCTTTCTTTTGCTTATATCCATTCCTTGATGCTAAGTATTTAATTTTGTTTAATTCTATCTCGTAATTTTTCTTTGTCATTGGAATGTTCAAAAGACGATTAAGCATGGATCTGAGAGCAGATAGTTTGTATTTCCAAGGATGCAGTGGCGGCTCTAGGACCTAGTCTAGGGGGGGGCTCCGGGGGGTTTGGGGGGTGTGGAGCACCCCCCTTTCAGAAGAGGGGTGTCCTCCCCCGGAAAAAATTTTAAATTTTTAAAGCCGTTTGGTGACTTTCTGAAGCAATTTTAACGCCTAAAACTATGTCCAATAATAGTCCAAAAACTCCCATTTCACCTGTTGTTTGTCATGCATGAGCAAATAGACATAAGTAGAGTAAAGTAAAGTATATTTTTTAAATAGTTTTTACCAATTTATTTAATAGATCAGATTTATTATCCTAATAGAACTAGGCCTATATTAAATATGAATAGATATTGCAAAACATAACAATTAATCCTCTATTGTGGTTTCTATTTCATAATTCAACTTTTTAAACCTAGTTTTAATTTGTACTGCTCAATTTCGCAATTTTGGGGGAGGGGTTTGACCCTCTAACCCCCCTCCCTGCCTACGGCCTTGTAAAACGGGACTACACTGTATTGAAAATATAACTAACAATTGATAATTTAATAGTAAAAAATCCACGGCAATAATGAGTAGATAACCAAACGGTAAGGCCTGACATTGATTGAATTGTATAATTTAAACACCCACGGCAATAACGAATAGAAAACCAAACCATGAGGGTAAGGCTTGACTAATTGTATTTTATATTAAAACATCCACGGCAATATGAGTAGAAAACCATACCATGAGGATAAGGCCTAACTTTAATTGTACTGTTTGAATGTGAAATCCATCCTCCTTTCTTTCTGCCCGGCGAAGTGATCTATTACTTTTTCGTTGAAGTTTAAAGTTGACAACAGCTTTTTTTCGATAGAACACATAGCAAGCGCACTTAGTCTGTCTTGTTTCATGGTACTCCTGGTAAACGTTTTAATTCGTTTCAAAGTAGAGAAACAACGTTCACTTTCCGAAGTAGTCATAGGTATTGTGCTTATGATTTTTAAAAGTTTGATTGACTCTGGAAGCACATCTTTGAGGTTGTTGTCATAGACAAAGTTGAGTAGTCTTAATGACCCTGTGGCCGTTGAAAAATCATTCCTATTGTAAATAACATTTAACTCCTGTTTCAATTCAGTTTTATTTAGGCTAAATAGTTCCGCAGCAGCGTGTAACTCTTTTTCGGGAAACTTGGTTTTAAACTCCCCAAACAAACTTGGCTGAAACAGTTTTGCCGCGGACAAATGATTTACAAACGTAAAACGGTCATCAATTCCCGACGTAATTATGTCACACACTTCCTTTGCGACGACGCGTTTTTGATCGTCGTGTCTTCTCCGCTTTTTGCTCGATTCGGGTTCACTATCTCTCGGTTGATCTAACATGGTCGAGTTTCTTACGCGATCTACCACAGTTTTGAAATCGCCGACAAACTTAAACGCCTTGACGCAATCAATTGTTGTTTGCTGCAGTTGGTTGTACAGAATGTCACTGTGGGGCAGTATTTGATTGAAAAAGTCCAGCCAGAAAATAAAGTCTTCGTCTTTTAGAATACTTCTTAGGCCAACAGCTTTATTTATTGTGGCATAGTCATTGGTGTCATCGTCAAACATTCCTCCAACTCTCTTTGATAATTAAAAACTGTGCTTACAATTCTGGATTTAAAATTCCACCGAGTACCTGAGCTTTTTGGAATACGACGTTTTACTATCTCATCGAGAACTGCAGTTCTCTTTGTTGACTGGGAAAAGAATGATGAAAACCCCTCGATATTACTGAAGAATATCTTAACCTGCTTATTTTGTGTAGCACTGCGTTCAATGATTAAGTTTAATTGATGTGCGTAACAGTGTACAAAATTTGCATTCTTATATTTAGATTTTACACGCGCTTGTACTCCCGTGTGTTGGCCACTCATTACGGAAGCCCCATCGTAGCTCTGGGCAATGACTTTATCAGGAGTTTTGTCGAGGTTTAATTGCTCTAATACTTCAAAAATTGTTTCGCTAACTGATTCTGCATCATGGTCTTTTGGTCTAATAAAAGTGAT